CCCAAAAGCCTGGTCCCACATCCATGTTTTCATTTTCTTTCTAAAAGAGATGAGGGATGTCGATGACCTAATTTCCCCGGGGAGTGAATTCCACAGGTGAGGGGCCACCACCGAGAAAGCCCTGCTCCTCATCCCCACCAACCTCACTTGTGATAGAGGTGTGGCCGAGAGAAGGGCCTCCCCAGAAGATCTTAAACTCCAAAGTGGGACGTAGAGGGAAATACTTTCAGACAGATACGCTGGGCCGGAACCGTATAGGGTTTTGTAGGTCAAAACCAGCACTTTGAATTGTGCTCGGAACTGGATAGGCAGCCAGTGGAGCTGACATAACAGAGGGGTAGTATGCTCCCTATATGACGCTCTGGTGAGTAATCTGGCTGCCGCCCGCTGGACTAATTGAAGTTTCCGAACAGTCTTCAAAGGCAACCCCACGTAGAGTGCATTGCAGTAATCTATTCAGGATGTAACAAGAGCGTGGACCACTGTGGCCAGATCAGACTTCCCAAGGTATGGGCACAACTGGCGCACAAGTTTTAATTGTGCAAAAGCTCTCCCGGCCACCGCCGAGACCTGGGGTTCCAGGCTCAGTGATGAGTCCAGGATCACTCCAAGCTGCGAACCTGCATCTTTAGGGGGAGTGTAACCCTGTCTAACACAGGCTGTAACCCTATGCCCTGTTTGGCCTTGTGACTGACCAGTAGGACCTCTGTCTTGTCTGGATTCAATTTCAATTTGTTAGCTCTCATCCAGTCCGACACAGCCGCCAAGCACCGGTTCAAGGTCTGGACAGCCTCCTTGGTGACAGGTGAGAAGGAGTGACAGATTTGGGCATCATCTGCGTAGAGATAACACCTCATTCCGAAACTCTGGATGATCTCCCCCAGCGGCTTCATGTAGATGTTAAACAACATCGGGGACAGAATTCAGCCCTATGGGACTCCACACAACAATGGTTGTGGGGCCGAACAGGTGTCACCCAATAACACCTGGGACCGTCCCTCAAGAAAGGACTGAAGCCACCTCAGAGCAGTACCCCCAAGTCCCATATCTGTGAGGCGTCCCAGAAGGATACCATGGTTGACGGTATCGAAGGCCGCTGAGAGGTCCAGCAGAACTAACAGGGACACACTCCCCCTTTCCAGCTCCCGGCAAAGATCATCTACCAAGGCTGTCTCAGTTCCATGTCCCGGCCTAAAGCCATTGTCATTGTGATATTGATGAACAGAAATCCTGCTAGTAGTTGCATTAGATTTCCTCCACTAGTCCCCAAAAGAACTTCTATAGGTGATGTTTTAACAGACACCACACAGTGGAAAACTGCCAAATGGTGTCTTTGTGTTAACTTTAAATTTGTACTCTTTATTGTAGTGGACAATGTAGTAGAGCAGTGATACTATTTGATACAGGTTATAGCTTTCTTAACTGTTCCTATGCATTAATTATATGCATAAACCATCCAGACACATTACAAGGAGTATTGACCATTAAACCTTAACACATTGACAACTTTCCATTGATAAGAAAGCGAGAAACAGATTGCTTTATGAAACAGATCACACATTTAGACATTACTGTTCTTGTTGAATTTTAAAACATTAAATCATTTTACAAACCTTAACATACTAACACTTGTCAAAGATCTAAACATTATATATCTTAGACTGTGAAGAAAGATCACTATGCCTTGTTGCTCCACATCTAAGTACACCTGAAGTACTCCCTCAAGGTTTCAAACCTGGTGTTACTTGCCAAATATCCTAAACTTTACTGGTGTGTCTCTGCTTTACTCAAAGGACCTGTGTAATTTTCACAAGGTACTAAACCCTGTGATTTACTTATACAACTATTTAATTAAATGGTCATTCTTTTCCTTTTCCAGAACTTTGCATAATGTTGTGCTGCTGCTGTCTTGTAAAAGTATGGCTTTTCTTTATTTTTGATGTCTGCATCCATAATCATGTCACTGTATCCCTGTAAGGGGAGTGGCTGTTTCTTCCCCACATTCCTTTCATCACCCATGCCATTAAAAACAGCTCCAAAAGATTTTCCAGCCCACCAGTGCTGGTTTGGGAGATGAGCAATTTTCTGTATAGAGGGAACTAACCTCTTCCTAGTTTTGCTGATAGATTCTGGCTTTTATAGGTATACTCATATTGAAAAATATAATTAATATTGAAAATAAATATTTTTCAGCATCTCTTATTTGGAACAGTATCACCACCAACATATAAAACATGCTGTTCCTGTCCCACAATTCTAATGAATATGCATACAATTTTCATACATGTTAGATAATCTTAAGAAAATAATAAACCATGAGATCAATAATTCAGTTGCATTTTTATTAAAGACAAAGTGGGTACATATGTACATTGTTACAGACAATTTTTCCACATTTCATTTGATGTTCTTTCTCCATGTATTTCACCCCACCCTAATTTTTAATGTGCAATTCACTCATCTATTTTTTCCAATATACATTATAACTGAGAATTTGAGAAACCTGTTTCTGCTTTCTCCAAAATTGCGTTCTGATATTTATCATATTTTCCCCCTTGATTACTTAACTAGCTAATTAACAATGTTTGACTTTAAAATAAATTATAATAGATCTTTAGTAAGCATTTGCCTTTTAACTAGTTGAAAGGACTACCCCAGCTAAAACCAGTCTGATCCACAAATATATAAATCCTGTTTTTAATTGAATTTTAGCAAACCTTTTCTCTAAATCATTTGTATATTCATCTGTTTCATGACATCAGCCTGTCATCTACATTAAATTACACTAAACTCAGAATTGGTAAAAGAATAGTTTTTGTTTTACTAGATTCTTTCTTTTAATCATTTTTCTGCACACACATGCTGATCATGTGATGCTATCCATGCTTTTTTGATTATGTCATTGCTATGGGAATGTATACAATAGCTCATGCAAAGAAAAGTAATAATTTTGTTGCTGCTGTTCTTCATGCAAGAGTTCAAAAGGGTGTCCTCTGTCTTTGTTTCCAATACATCATGTTTGAAACTTTTCAGCTGTTCATTTGTTATAAGAAACTCATTCCCCAAATTTCTGATGCTGCATTAATTTTATGTTCCAGTGTTAATTAATATAATAGGGTAATAAAAAGTGTTTTGAAAGTAAGGGTCTGCATTCACCAGGACAGTGTCACCTCTCTTCATTTCTCAGTCCAGCATTCATTATAAATATTCAAGTAAGAGATATCTTCATATTACCCTTGAAAGATTAAATTGAGAGTAATAAATCAGTAATATATAATTTTATATGTGAATTTTTTTTGTTGGTTGTGTTACTATATATTTATCTCCTGCGTTTCTCCCAATAATGGGCCTAGAGGGGGCTAGCAACAAACTTATAAATAATCTAGATTAAAACTGCACTAAACATACATAAAAATATAAAAATTAGTGTAAAAGGAAACAGTATAAAACATTAAATATTAAGAACATTAAAATCAATTAAAATATTGCAAGTCATAAAACAGCACAACATTTAAACCCCACCCAGTTCAATTTACAAAACACTGGTGGCACAAGACTCATGAGTTGCAGACAGAAAGAGAACAAAAAAGGAAACCATCCTGTTCTCTCTAGGGAGGGAGTTCTAGAGACTGAGAGCAGCCTCTAAAAAGAAGGTCTCCTTTGTTTCCACCAAACAAACATGGGAAGGTGGTGGGACAGAGAGAAGAGCCTCTTTATGGAATATTTAGAGTTCTAATGGATCCATCAAAGGAGATATGGTCTTTCAAACAGCCTGGACCCAACCCATATAGATCTTTATAGGTAATGACCAGCACTTTGCATCGTGCCTGGAAGTAGACCAGCAGCCAGTATTGCAACTTCCCTTTAGCCAGTCTGTTAGCAATCTAACTGCAGCTCTTTAATCCAGTTGATATTTTGGAGCATTTTTGAAGGCAGCCACATGTAGAACACATTACAATTGGGATGTAACAAAGACATGCATTATTGTGGCCAGTTGCCCCATTAACATGCACAGTTCACTAGTGTTCACTGTGCAAATGGCTTCCTTGTCACCTCTGGTGTGTATTTTTTCATTGGGTAAACCAGAGGACTCTAGGAATGGTCACAGCTGCCATGTTAGTTTTTAGTGTGCAAATGCAGTATTTGATGTTGTCAAAACCTGAGTACTGAGTCTCAGGAGTGACTTTAGGAGCACACCAAGCTGCAGACCTGAATTTCGAAATGCTATCACACACTCCAAAAAAGAACTATTGAAGATTAGCCACTAATTATCAGCAGTTCAGCAGTTCATTTCCCCTCTCAGTTGGTATACCCACAGCCTCCATTTATGAAGCAAAAATGGCTAGCATAAACAGGGCATTTATCACTTTTCTAAGAGGCCTATACACATATTTGAGTTGTCCTGATTGAAAGTTACTTATTTCACATGCATAAGACAAAGCTACAGTCACACTGTTTGTATCAATTACAGGTTCCAAATCACAGCAGATCTTAGTGACTTTTGAAACAAAATCTTGTGTAGGTATAGGTCGTCTTTAGATCGCTGCTTCCAAACTGTCTGATATGAGGGAGTGTCAGGTACTTAATTTGTTTCCATTGAATTACATTTTTTTTCTTTCTTTCCTGAAAATGTTTCAGGAGCCAGCAGTCAGTGGCTCCTGGACCAAGATCACCATTTTGAGTAGGACTTGTCTACATCATTATGGCTCTTGACAGCTTGGGAGGGTAGACACAATAATGACAGAGAAGTATACGTCTTTCATTGTCAACATAGACCAAACTTTCCAGTGGGCTCTCTTCTGTTCTGACTATTTTTAACATTTTATCCATGATTGAAAACCAAGGAATTTCATTGCATGTAGTCATTCTTCTTGGTATGACATCTTTCTTTTGGTTTTTTTAACATTACCACTGAGACAAGTATGTTGTTATTTCTCTTGACAATTCCATGTTGAATTTGAACACAAAAAGTGAAAACAATGAAGCATTATATATTTTATATTAATTGTAATTCAGAATATTTTTGTTGCATTGCTAAGTAGTTGGTTTTGCTCACTTAACATTTTCTTTTCTTTCCTTCCCTGGCCCTCCCTCTGCCCTTGGTTTAGCCTTCTGTTGAATCAGCAAGCCCAGGTAAAGATTTATTTTCATATTGACCCTATATTTATCCAGTTTTGCTTGAAATGATAGTTTGGCAAATAATCACATAGCTTTAGCTTGTAGCAGTCACTTTTCTGGGCTTCTCATTTTGTCCTCTGAGGCCCCTTCCACACAGCTGAATAAAATCCCACATTTTCTGCTTTGAATTGGAATATATGGCAGTGTGGACTCAGATAACCCAGTTCAAAGCAGATACTGTGGGATTTTCTGCCTTGATATAATGGTTTATATGGCTGTGTGGAAGGGCCCTTAGTCCCCACTCTGCAGTGTATATGATTATATCTGGCCAACGCAGACCTGTTTCTGTGTATATTTGATGTGCTGATTCTAAACATGGCACCAATTTCCCCCATCAGCTCTAGTTTTTGAGATAAAAAACATATGCAATATACCAGTTTTCGGCTGTTTGCCCATATAAAATGGTTATAACCATATCTAAGAAACTAGAGCTGATGCATTATATCAAATGCTATTTTCTTAAGCAACACCCCAAATAACTCCAGGAACAAGCCTAAAAACCAAGACACCAAGATAGATAGATAGATAGATAGATAGATAGATAGATAGATAGATAGATAGATAGATAGATAGACAGACAGACAGACAGACAGACAGACAGACAGACATATTTGTTTGAGCTATAAATCAAAATGAATGGTCATAGCTATATGTTTGTTGGCGTTGGGCATACTGGGTTAAAGTATCCCCACTCCTCCTTGCAAGGTTCTGTCAGGAACACAACAGAGTAAGTGCTGATTACATGACAAGACTTTACCCATTACTGATTTTCCCACTATTTTGAATTGGAATTTCTGTTGTAATTATATTGCATCATCCACTATATACTGACAGTTGCAACATTCTGTAGTCCAGTATGGAGATTATGAGAGAAGAAGGGTGGTAGGCCTTCCCTTTTATTTATTTACTAAGTGGAGTCAGAGGAGAACGCCTCATAAAAGGAATGTCTGGTTTCCCCATATGCAGAGCAGTAGCATCATCTTAGTGTCAGGGAGGGCCAGTGGATGGAGAAAGTAATGTGCATGTCTATTAGAATGGTAGTCCAGAAAGTTAGTTTAGGATTGAAAGTAGAAGCTGGAAAGTGGTTTCTTAGTTGCTGTTGTTTTTTGTTTTTTTACTGAACCAGAAGAATTTATTGACTTTTATCTAAATACCTTCTAGCAGAGTTCTGCTTGGATAAATAAGTTTTGCTTCCCTCTATTCTGTTATGGGTCCTCTAAAAGCTCCTTGAGACTTATGTGACCTTTTGAAGAATCAGTGTATGTGGGGAAGTATCTTTAGGTCCAAATCACAATAATTAGTCAGCACAGAGCGGGGTTAAGGATATAGATTATAGGATAAATACAGATAGTCCCAAAGTTGTAAACATCTGACATACAAATGACTCATAGTTATGAATGGGGGTGAGACAACAGGAAGTGTGAGAAATCTACCCCTTGGAAGAGAAATTCTCTCTTGAAAGAGTTATCACGAGGAAAAGTGTCTCAACTGAAGCTTTATTACCAATACATAATTTTGACCCCAAAACCTGCCCTTGATTTATACATGAGTATGTGTGGTATATACTGCGCTCTACGCAGTCATGCCGGCCCCATGACCTTGGAGGTGTCTATGGACAACACCGGCTCTTCGGCTTAGAAATGGAGATGAACACCACACCCCAGAGTCGGACATGACTGAACTTCATGTCAGGGGAAAACCTTTACCTTTCCTTTATAAGTGGTATAAGTTGCTTCACTGCTAAGAATTCTTCAGCACCCTGGAATAATTTTTTCCTCATGAGAACTCAATGTTTATAGCATGGTTTCATTGGGAGCAAATTAAAATCATATCTGCTTATAATACGTGATGTGTTTATAGATTTTCGATTAACTGGCAGTAAGTCCGATTCAGCTTAGTATAGTATAGTATAGGATTGCAGTGTCTGATTTGATCATTCTTTGATTTCTGATAGTCTTTAAGTTATGTTATATATTTCTTAAATAATGATTTAATTATTATTGATAATTTATTTAGAGAAATGGCTTTTCCCATAAAGTTTTTGATTTAATTTTAATTTTAAAGTATTGGTAATGTTCTCAAGTCTATGGTCAAGATCAACCCTGAAATTATTAATCAAATTTTAGGAGGGTCTGCGACATCAGATGACCAAGAATTTGACCCAACAGCTGACATGCTGATTCATGATTTTGATGATGAACGAACATTAGAAGAAGAAGAAATGATGGAAGGTGGAACGAACTTCAGCTCAGAAATAGAAGATCTTACAAGGGTAAATGCTGGAAAATATTTTAAATAAATTTCTAAAATTATATTTACATTCCAACTGCAAATATGTGGGCAAATCTTGAAAGTGGTATGATAGTTTATTATATGGAAATACTCATTGTCATGCACTTTCAAGTCAACTCCATCATCAGGCTTTCTTAGCAAGTTTGTCATTGCCTTTTCATAGAGAAAATGTGACTTGCCCAAGTTAACCCAATGGGATTTGATGGCTGAGCGTAAATTTAGACCCTTGACTCCCAGAATCCTAGCCCACTAGCTGTCTTCAAAATAGATTAAATAGCTTAAAGTCATAGCATAATAGCATTGAGTGAAGGGTATAAGGAGTCTTCAAGGTGACCCTATGCAAAATCACAGAATATAAAAACTGTTCCACCTATTGTTCTTTCTGTAGATTTTCAGTTGATTCTCTCTCCACCCC